CTTCTGAAAGGAATCAGAGAATTCTGGAAAAATAGAAGCAATAGTGGAAGTATAGAGTTCACATTTTCCAGAGAGAGAGAGAGAGAGAGAGAGAGAGAGAGAGAGAGAGAGAATAGATTGTACATCCAAAATCCCATGAGCAATATGTGTAACAAAATTAGGAGAACAACACCCCTTGATCCGCAAGCTATGATTAGAGACAGATCCCCCCAGAAGTCCTGCGCTGCGCAAGCCTTGGTGTGGGAAGCCCAGAGAGGGCACCTGGCATTTCTGAGAGAGGAGAGCTGTGAAAGGCCCAGTAGTGTCACTGAAACACGGACTGGTAGGAACTGTGGGCACCCAGCAAGATCAACAGGACTGGGCTGCTTTCCAAGACAGGATGCCCGCAGAGGCACAGAAACAAAACTGAGCAGGCCAGGGATAGAAAGACTGGGAAAGGGGGGTTCAAGTGAAGTGAGCCTCACAGTCCAGGAGGTAAACTTCTGCCTTGCAATGCTGCCTGAAGACATCAAAAGAGAGGGGTCTGTAAATTTGGAAAGCCACATACACCAAGCTTCTTTTTTCTCTCAATAGTATCTTTCTTCCCCCCCCCCCCCCCCCCCGTATTTTAGGGCAGGGTCTACAGGGTGTTCAGGATCTCACTTCCTAGATTGGACTCGTAGTGATTTGCCTGTTTACAGCCTCCCAAAAGCTGGGATTACAGGCTCACACCACCACGCCTAGTCTCAATCACGGTCTCAGCGTGCCCAGGGAGTGGGGTCGGCACAGCAGGCCCAGGGTTCAAACCTTATAGTATCTATTTTTATTAGTGTATACAAAATACTGGATTTCATCATGGTATTTTCTTTTTTGTACATTTATTTGTGTGTGTGTGTGTGTGTGTGTGTGTGGCCAGCTCAGCCCACCAGGGGGCGGAGCTGGCTGGCATGTGGTGCTGGGGGATCGAACCCTGGCCCCCCTGCTTTGCTAAGCTTGTTCCAAGTAGGTGCTTTAGACCACTGAGCCATCTCACCAGCCCCTTCATCATGGTATTTTCATATATGTATTTTTATACATAATCAATTATATGAAAGGTACATCATACATAAAAATATAAGAACACAAAATTATCAAAGTCAAGTCCCATAAAAGTTATTATATGAATAAAAGAATATATAGGGCAGAATAATACAGCTACAGATAAGAACATGAAAGAAATATATGCCCAAAACAGCCAAAGTAAAACTTTGTAATTCAAAAGAACATTAAGGGGCTGGAGAGATGGCTCAGTGGTCTAAGGCACCTACTTAGAACAAGCTTCGCAAAGCA